ACGACACCGTACCATCCTATGGGTAATGGTCAGACAGAGCGCTTCAACAGGACACTTTTGAACATGCTTGGCACCCTTGAACCTGATCAAAAGAAGGACTGGAGGATGCATGTTTCTCCTCTAGTTCATCCCTACAATTGTACCAAACATGAAACTACTTGTCATTCTCCCTTTTATTTAATGTTTGGACGTCATCTAAGGTTGCCGATAGACCTTGCATTTGGAATTGACAGAGACCATGCCAACCAGTCGTTACAATCATACACAAAGTCTCTGCGTGACAGACTAAAGAAATCATATGAATTAGCCACTAACACCACCAGGAAGTCTAAGAGAAAACAAAAGCAGAACTATGATCAGCAAGCAAGAGGAGCAGCTGTTCATGTTGGCGATAGAGTGCTGGTGAAAGCTCTTGCCTTCGAAGGTAAACATAAGCTAGCAGACCGGCATCTTCCCGAGGCAAGGGAGTTAACTGACTTTAAAAGTCCAGTTTCCACCCTTGCCGACCTAGGCTGGAATTCCTGGGCTCGATCGTAGCGCCACCAGTGGCTATTACCGGTTATGTCCCTTCTAAGCCTCTCCTATGGACCAATTAGATTCCACTTATCATATCACTTGCATTTGTTTCAAACAAAATGGTGGCGCCCTGTCAAGACGATCTGATCGATAATCAAGATCTATATTGTGATAAAACGAGTCTTACATGGCGAAGTGCATCAAATCACGTGAGCACCTTGATTAAAAACATGAAAAGATTTAGAAAATATCTGTTGACGACGAGCCAGCGGTGCACATGCTTTGCAAATCCTGCAGTCGACCGAAATCTGCATGACACTTTACGAACCGGATTTCGATTTCGGTGCGAGATTTTGATTGGACTATGCATAGACTCGTTAGTCCAGCCAAAATGTAACTCTGTAATACCAGCCTAGTTCGGCAAGGGCGGAAACGGACTTTTATAGTCAGTTAACTCACTTGCCTCGGGAAGATGGCAGACCGGTGGTAGGAGGATGCATATATTGTCCAAGGACACCTAACCCCAACATTCCTGTGTTTGTAGTGGAGCAAGAGAATGGAGAGGGTCGAATTAGAACTTTGCATTGGAATCATCTCCTCCCTATTGGAAGTGTTTCTACAGAAACCGTAAGACCTAAACCAAAACTAAGAAAGAGAACTGAGATTCAAACTGTGACAAACAAACCAGATGACATACTGGAACAGGATGATGACCATGACAAGGTTATTTTGTCAGTTTCATCTACTCCTCATATTGATTCTGTCTCTTCAGCCAGTGATACATCCACAGGTGAAGATGTTGTACAAGATCGAACTGAGGAAGAAACTGAATCAGTGGAAGTTGACCGTACTGGTGATTCTCCATCAGAATCAGAGTCCACACTGGTCACTGAAGATCAAGATGTCATGGATGTTAAGGTCGTTTCGGATCTTGCGGATATCACCCATGTCTCCGATGCTGCCGATGGCATTGCAACAGATGGTGCTCATGTCACAGATCTTGCCACTGCTGACGTAGACCACGTCACTGATGTTACAAGTGTCACGGACGTCATGCCAGAAAATCTTGAAACAGACTAAAAGTAGTCCTGAGACATCTGGAGTATAAAACGACGCAAGGACTCGAGCTCCTGTGCAACATATTCCGCCAAGTCGGCCCTGACGATCAGACAGAGTTACAAGGAACTTGCATGGCAAACTGGTGGTGAGCTTGTAATGTCACAAACAGGTCGACCACTGGCTGGAGAAAGCAAGATTTCTGGAACATCTGGCAACCAGTGGAACTTTCGACACATTGCCTTCTAAGGTATCAGATGTTCTTTTATCCGTCATCAAAGATAACTGATAGATGACGGGAGCGTCATTTATTGATAGGGGTGTAGTGTGTAGCAGTGACATTTGGATGGTATTTTAATGTCTGAACTTGGTTTCTTTGTACATATCTATTTTACAATTATTGGATGTAACATGTTGTTTTATATTTTATGGTTTAAAGGTGAAACAAGAATAAAAATAACGTATAAGTCATAAAAAGGTTGTAAAAAATATTGATGGCTGGTGGCAGTATTCTAACGTTTGTGGTTTTAAGCGAATGTCAATTAGATTGACATTTGGTTTTGTTTATCTATAAGTTCATATGAATTTCATTCATCTGAATGGTTATGACGTCAGAGCTATGTAAAGTATAATGCTGGATCAAGAGTATTGTCTCATTCTGGATCCAGGATGAAAGTTGTTTATCACCTAACCCTAATTCTTAGCTTCTCATTGGCTAATTGGCTAACCTTTTTGGACATACCCTTTTCGACCAAACACCAAATGGCCTGGCGGGCCCGTGCGCGAAATACGCATGCGCTGGAAAGAGTACGTTAAATTCCTGATTTAAGTAAGTAAGTAAACACTGACATCCTGTTCCAAATATCACGATCTGACAATGACTAGTATGTACGTGATGGCGACTCCTTTGAAAAAATATCTTGGACGGCACAAGGAAAAAGAAGGCATTGTGGCGAGATCAGGAGCCAAGGTGGCTGACGTTCCCGATCTCCTCTGGACATTGAAAGGTTTAAGGTAGGAGACGTCTTCATATCATATCTTTTAGCAGTTAAAGGAAGTAACATTTTGCCCGTTAAAGGGACTGTTCCACGCACGTAGTAATGAAGAATCAGTCATAATAAACTCAGCACAATGATAATTGAAACCGGTTTTGATGACAGATAGAGTGTGTGTATTTCCCAAAACGTACCATACGTTTGGGTTTCAGTAAACGATACTTCTGATGTTACCGTTATTTAACATTGTTTTCAGTTCGTCATTGTCCATGTTGGGATCAATGACCTGGCTTACATACCCAGTACGCCCAGACAAGTCTTGGACAACTTCACCAAACTGCTTGGCTTTTAAGGGAACGGAACCAACGGTATATCACATCATCTCCTGTCAAACACAATCCAATATTTGCTTGTAAATTACCGGCTCTTAAGATGACCTTGCAATGCACCGTCGGACATAGTCCATAACGTTGTCAGATGACAACATATTATTATATAATAGGTTCGTCCGATTTGTTTCTCTTGACCAGAAAAGTACAGTTTTGGTTGTTAATAACGTCTAAGATATTTATGTTCCTACAGAGCTGTGGTATTCTTTCCGTAGTCAACCCGAGAGATCGGAACAGGTGGCGCCATGACCAGGGCATTTCACACCACGATGCCCTGAACCAGAAGGCCTACGCCCGAAACGAAGGTCTAAAACACCTTTCTGAAGCAGATCGACTAATGTAGTAGGACACCCTGAATTCGTGTCAACCGGTACAGTGAGAAAGGACTTTATCGCGCATGATGGGCTACATCTATGATCAGTAGGTTAAAAACAGCTGCCATCAGACCTGATCCGTGCTCTTTCTGAAAGCTCGGGCTAAGTCGGAACAAACGGACAGAGATTTTCTTAAGAAAATATAGTGAAAGTGATCAGTTTACTTTAATTGCGATGTACTGATTAAAGTTGATTTCGACAGGACCTTGATTTCCTTAACTACCGCGATCTGAGACACTATAAAGTGGTATATAGGTAGATATAAAACTAATCAATACATGTAAACACATTTGTTGATGCAGCTGTGTGTTAAAAGTTGGTTTTAACAGCCCGGACAGAGTCGGACCGAACACTTCTGACAGACATGTTCTTAAGAAAATACAGTAAAAGTGTTTGATTGTAACGGATCAGTTTTCTTTCAATGCGATTTACTGTGACACTATAAAGTGGTATATAGGTAGATATTATACTAATCTATAGTTGTGAACACATTTGATGACACACCTGTGTGTATAAAGTTGATTTTGACAGCCCGGGCCAAGTCGGACCCAACACAAGCCAAACACTTTTGATAGAGACTATGTTGAGAATGTGGAGGGAAAACGGCTTCACTTTGAGCACCCTGTTTTCTTTAAATACCACGATCTGAAACACTAAAAAGTGGTATTTAGGTAGATATAATACTAGTCTATAGATCTAAAGTATGTTTAGTAGAAGTACCTGTTATTAACACGTGTCGTGTCAACCCTATGACATTCGCGAATATCCACTTTCAGAAAACATCCTGTGTGGGTTTAACATGAATTAGTAAAGGTTAATTAGGATTGCCCAACACGTTCATTAATGAAAGAAGAGTAGTCAAAACACTGTCATTTCCTGCCCAGGACATCACACTCCTACACGCTAAGGTCGGTGAGAAATCTTATCAAAGAAAACACACAGTCAAGACACTGACTTTTCGACGAGGACTCTTGATATGTAGTTATAATTATCAATTAATTACATTGTTGAACATGCATTTTGATGCAAACTCAATTAAATTAGTAAAACTACGATTGTGGACATTTGCAATCTGCCTAGATATGTACATCTCATTTTATTATTCTGCAATCCATTTTTAGTATGACCCACTGGCCCGGCCCGGCCCGACTTTTCGGCCCCCCCCGCCCCCCCATCACCCACCCCCACCCGTTAGTCGCCTCTTACGACGAGTATTGTGAGACAAAGTAGATTTAAGTTTTGTGTTGCAACAGCCCAAAACACAACCGCAGCGGATGCCAGGTACGAGAATTAGGCCATGTAGACATTTGAACACGAGTTTTGAGCTTTGAGCGAAAACTATAACCCCTATCAAAGCTTCGAATATAAAACAATTATGATAGCTGGCGTTTTTCAATTGCATGAAGGGTCATTAAGTGTTCAATGTAAATTTGATTGTTCAAATAACAATGTTTCATTAACATATACACTGTCTCTGCAATTAATTACTGGATTACACAATATGATAATCTCGAATTCGAAAGGCACATATGTATTCGTGTACGTTGCATAGCGATAAAACAACGTTTCTGATCCCATCGTTCATGGACGTATTGCGGGTTTGTAACATCAAAACGCAACAGCGTGAATGTGATCGCAAAGGCCTTCGCCTTGTAATAAACATGTGTTACCTTCAGTCAGATCCCTCAAAACGAACTCTATGTGTGTAGTAGAGGACGATAGTGTTCATGTGCTGATGTACCGACCGTCTTCTGCGTTGTGGTAATATGCACGTATGCATGGTTTGTATTAAAAAAAATCGCGCTGCATTAAATATTGCACAACATCGCGACATACACTCTGTTAACTTTCCGTTGTGTATTCTCAGTTATAGCCCTTCGCATGCAGCAACATATTATCCGCCCCGCCACGAGCAAATATCTTACCTGGCCCAGATTGTTTCGCTGAAAATCTAGGTCGGATCATCAGTGTTATTGTTATTGTTGATCTACTTACCCCCCGCGTGTGCTTGTCGCTGCGTTCGAGCGAATTGCTCAGCGATCGCGAACACTAAAGGACTGCTATTGATTCCGAAAAGGCGCGGTTACTCTCTAGATGACCCCGTGTGACCGCCTGTTGTCAGACAGTTGAAAAGTGTAGCAAGACAATGGTGTCGCCTGAAGAATATGTCTAGTAGGTTAAACAAACACGTGTTGAAGGGGGCTGATAGATACGCTGTCAATGGTTGTAAAAAATGGAATGATAGGATAAGAAAGAAGTTTAGTAATATGGATTTAGGACATCTGTTTAACGCAACAGGTTTTACGGATAAATTTTCTGTTTTTACACAGGTGGAACAATGGTGTATGAATGAATATGTTCCCCGTTGGAGTGATATGTTAAGAAAGGAAGAGGGGCGAAATGGGCTTAATAAATTGAGAATGTACCGATGTTGCAAGCAAGTATATGGGACAGAATACTATGTTTCAAATAAGATGGCCAGAAACTATAGATCGGCACTAGCCAAGTTTAGATGTGGCGTGGCTCCTATTCGAGTGGAAACCGGTCGGTACGAAGGTGTACCTGTCCACAATAGAACATGTTTTCACTGTAATGACAGCGTAGAAAACGAGGTCCATGTTTTGTTTCACTGCGTATTATATGACGATATCAGGGCAACTCTTTTTAAGGAATGTATTGCTAAATCTTATAATGTTTTAGATATACCTGATATCGACAAACTTTGGTTAATTTTCAGTGACTCCATTCTGTGTTTTATACTTGCCAAAGTCTGCTTTTTAATTCTTAATCGTAGAAGGCATCTTTTATATGGATAACTATTTATATCATCTTTATATCATTTATGTATAAATTTTATGATAATTTGTCTCTCATAATTCTATTGAATGGTTCTGTACATTCTATCTATGTCAAGTTGTACAAAGCTGTTTTATGTATGTACAGAAGTGAAACATAATTTTTTTTTGTCTGTCTGTCTATCCAACGCATGCATGAACATCAATGTAAACTTTAGTGACTGGGAAGTATCCATCCGGTGTATATGTGTGTATATATATATATATATGTGTGTGTGTGTGTGTGTGTGTGTGTGTGTGTGTGTGTGTGTGTGTGTTTATGAATGTGTGTGTACGCATGTGTATGTGTGCATGCGCGTGCGTCTGTGTAAGTATGTGTATTTGTACATTTTTATTATTTCATTCTCATGTGCATCACGTCATAGCAGCCTAGCGGTTAGCACGTGATCAGTGACAGTTATACCTCAACGATATCCATTGTGGTATACTATTTCGATTTGATTACATGTATATTGAGGACATACAATTGAACTCTGTGTCGAACTTCCTTATCATGCCATTACGTTCTGGTGGTGTGAATAACGTTTTTCGGGCGTGTTGAACAAATAACTCGCACTTTTCTCAAGTCCCTTGAGTTCAACACATTTATGTTGTTAACTGTTTCTGAATTGTTTTCATTTCTCGGCGCTCGGCTCCGAATTGAAATAAAATGTTTCTAATCTAGGCTACCCGACCGCCCCTAATCGGTTAAGTGAGTGAGTGAGTATAGTTTTACGCCGCTTTTAGCAATATTCCAGCAATATCACGGCGAGGGGCACCAGAAATGGGCTTCACACATTGTACCCATGTCGGGAATCGAACCCGGGTCTTTGGCGTGACGAGCGAACACTTTAACCACTAGGCTACCCGACCGCCCCTAATCGGTTAAGTGAGTGAGTGAGTATGGTTTTACGCCGCTTTTAGCAATATTCCAGCAATATCACGGCGAGGGGCACCAGAAATGGGCTTCACACATTTTACCCATGTCGGGAATCGAACCCGGGTCTTTGGCGTGACAAGCGAACACTTTAACCACTAGGCTACCCGACCGACCCTAATCGGTTGAGTACCATGAGTTAGTACTAACACATTAAAGAACAGACAAACTCTGCAATTCACTAAAACGTTAAACGAGAAACCTTAAATAAAGGACGTATCCGAGAAAATGGAAGTAGAAAAGGATCCCTTTACCTAAAATTCACCCAACATGGGGGCCCAGTCATCTAAGGCGCCGCGATTCGCTGTGCAGAGTTGCGTCCCTTGGGCACGCCAGAAACCTATGATTGTGGGTTCGAATCCCGTTCGCCCCAATTATGTTTCAAGGTTTGTCAGCACCATACCCGTGCTCGTGGGTTTCACCGAAGTGGTAAACGTCTGCATTACTTCGGGCTTTCCTCCGACATTAAGCTGACACGCCGCGATGTAACTTAAATACTGTTAAAAGCGGCCTTAAACCCAACTCACTCACTCACTCATTATTTGTTTACGTGCTCAAAAAAGGCAAAACAACAGACAAGCTTCGATCCATGCAACATATCAACGGCAACCTCCCAATTGTCACACATCTCAATTGTCAACCGGGTTATACCAGGATTAGTCAAGGTTGGCTAGTCAAGCAATAGTTACCTGTTTACCTTTCATTAGAGTGAAACAGACCAGAAAACACACATTTTGAGGAATTTACAGGATTGGTCTATCATGCACTTTTAATCATTAAATCATACCAGAAATCACTCTTTTTGAAGTATTCATTACATTATTGCAAAACTTGACAGGAATCTGATCTCTAGGTGGGTGGCAGGGGTCCGAGACGTGTTTAGTGAGTGAGTGAGTGAGTTGGGTTTAACGTCGCTTTTAACAGTATTCCAGTTATATCGCGGCGTGTCAGCTTAATGTGGGAGGAAAGCCCGAAGTGATGCAGATCTCAGACGTTTACCACTTCGGTGAAACCCACGAGCACGGGTATGGTGCTGACAAACCTAGAAACATAATCGGGGCGAACCGGGATTCGAACGCACAATCATAGGTTTCTGGCGTGCCCAAGGGACGCAACTCTGCACAGCGAATCGCGGCGCCTTAGACGACTGGGCCACCCGTGCCCCCAGACGTGTTTAAGGAAGTCCCCAACAGTGGAACATTTCCCACGGCAGGTCTTGATGAGACATCTCCCGTTTGTGGTCTGGTCTCTGGTTCGATTCTTGGAGTAAGTGAACCCATCAAAGTGAGGTGAGGTGAAATGGGGTTTAACGTCACGTCCAAGATTATTGCACTCATATAGCGACGTGCATGCACGTGTGTGTGTGGCTGCTTGTACTAGTCCGAACTGGTGCCGATTTATAGTGCTAGCCCACTGAGATACCATGCGGCAGTTTAACATGATCAATACCCCACTCAGACACAGTATACTGACTCCGAGCCGACCAGTCCTTGTTTTAGCCCCTTAATGCTGAGTCGCCAGACAGGGTAACATCAAGTACAATCTTTTAACGTCTTTTGGTATTACGCGGCCGGGGATCGAACCCCTGACCTTCCGTTTTCCGTGCGGACGCTCTACCACTAGACCACGGTCAAACGTTTATTAAATCTTTCGTGTGTTATTAGACCTTTAAGGTATTAAAAAAAGAAGGATATGTTCACTTTGAAGCATCCTCGGCCTCTACAGATTAAGTCTTACAACCCATGTGCTATCCTTCCCAGTGATGTGGAAAGACGTATCGTGCAGAATATGCATTGTACGATGTTTTGAGATGACATTTATTTATGTTATTCAGTTTACTTTAGAAGAATGAACAAGGATGTAGCTCACATTACATATTGCTTACAAATGCGGTGCGCAGTGACCTGAAAACTCAAGACAGAAGGCAAAGAGATATTGTCAACCTGCCTCACAGCTCCTGTAGCGTTGTTGAGTGCCCGTTTGGGGCCTACATATTCATATAGGACTGCACAAACACGTTGTGTACTTTGGCTGTCTAGTCTCGTACAACTGATATTTATGGCACGTTCATGGTGTATTGTCTTAGCATTACTTCATGGCCTCGACACTCGAACATCAACAAGGTATGTACATCGATATGACACATGACATGGTGTTTCAATGCGTCCACTATTTAATGCCCAGCATTTTAAAATACAGGCGCACCTAAACAGAAGGTTTAATTGTGTCTGAAAAACCTCAATATGAGGCTGCGTCTGTTAACGTCATAAGCTCGTGTGCGATTAGGTGTGCTCTATGGGAATGATTGATATCATCAGCATCGATCAACGCAATTGAGATACGATTACATTCATCAACCAAGTCAGCGGGTCTGACCACCCGATCCCGTTAGTCGCCTTTTACGACAAGCATGGGTTGCTGAAGACGTATGTGGGTATGTAGGAATGTTGGTAAGTGAATATGGGTGTTTGCTGGTACGCGGGTATGTTACTGTTGTAGTATGTTTTATGTAGGGATGTGGTTAAAAGAGTATGGGTGTTTGCTGGTACGCGGGTATGTTACTGTTGTATGTTGGTATGTAGTGTTGTGGGTATATGAGTATGGGTGTTTGCTGGTACGCGGGTATGTTACTGTTGTAGTATGTTGGTATGTAGGGATGTGGTTAAAAGAGTATGGGTGTTTGCTGGTACGCGGGTATGTTACTGTTGTATGTTGGTATGTAGTGTTGTGGGTATATGAGTATGGGTGTTTGCTGGTACGCGGATATGTTACTGTTGTAGTATGTTGGTATGTAGGGATGTGGGTATAAGAGTATGGGTGTTTGCTGGTACGCGGGTATGTTACTGTTGTATGTTGGTATGTAGTGTTGTGGGTATATGAGTATGGGTGTTTGCTGGTACGCGGATATGTTACTGTTGTAGTATGTTGGTATGTAGGGATGTGGGTATAAGAGTATGGGTGTTTGCTGGTACGCGGGTATGTTACTGTTGTATGTTGGTATGTAGTGTTGTGGGTATATGAGTATGGGTGTTTGCTGGTACGCGGATATGTTACTGTTGTATGTTGGTATGTAGTGTTGTGGGTATATGAGTATGGGTGTTTGCTGGTACGCGGATATGTTACTGTTGTAGTATGTTGGTATGTAGGGATGTGGGTATAAGAGTATGGGTGTTTGCTGGTACGCGGGTATGTTACTGTTGTATGTTGGTATGTAGTGTTGTGGGTATATGAGTATGGGTGTTTGCTGGTACGCGGATATGTTACTGTTGTAGTATGTTGGTATGTAGGGATGTGGGTATAAGAGTATGGGTGTTTGCTGGTACGCGGGTATGTTACTGTTGTATGTTGGTATGTAGTGTTGTGGGTAAATGAGTATGGGTGTTTGCTGGTACGCGGATATGTTACTGTTGTATGTTGGTATGTAGTGTTGTGGGTATATGAGTATGGGTGTTTGCTGGTACGCAGATATGTTACTGTTGTAGTATGTTGGTATGTAGTGATGTGGGTATAAGAGTATGGGTGTTTGCTGGTACGCGGGTATGTTACTGTTGTATGTTGGTATGTTGGTATGTAGGGATGTGGGTATATGAGTATGGGTGTTTGCTGGTACGCCGGTTTGTTACTGTTGTATGTTGGTATGTAGGGATGTGGGTATATGAGTATGGGTGTTTGCTGGTACGCGGGTATGTTACTGTTGTATGTTGGTATGTAGGGATGTGGGTATAAGAGTATGGGTGTTTGCTGGCACGCGGGTATGTTACTGTTGTATGTTGGTATGTAGTGTTGTGGGTATATGAGTATGGGTGTTTGCTGGTACGCGGGTATGTTACTGTTGTATGTTGGTATGTAGTGTTGTGGGTATAAGAGTATGGGTGTTTGCTGGTATGCGGGTATGTTACTGTTGTATGTTGGTATGTAGTGTTGTGGGTATAAGAGTATGGGTGTTTGCTGGTACGCGGGTATGTTACTGTTGTATGTTGGTATGTAGGGATGTGGGTATATGAGTATGGGTGTTTGCTGGTACGCGGGTATGTTACTGTTGTATGTTGGTATGTAGTGTTGTGGGTATAAGAGTATGGGTGTTTGCTGGTACGCGGGTATGTTACTGTTGTATGTTGGTATGTAGGGTTGTGGGTATATGAGTATGGGTGTTTGCTGGTACGCGGGTATGTTACTGTTGTATGTTGGTATGTAGTGTTGTGGGTATAAGAGTATGGGTGTTTGCTGGTATGCGGGTATGTTACTGTTGTAGTATGTTGGTATGTAGGGATGTGGTTAAAAGAGTATGGGTGTTTGCTGGTACGCGGATATGTTACTGTTGTAGTATGTTGGTATGTAGGGTTGTGGGTATATGAGTATGGGTGTTTGCTGGTACGCGGGTATGTTACTGTTGTAGTATGTTGGTATGTAGTGTTGTGGGTATAAGAGTATGGGTGTTTGCTGGTACGCGGGTATGTTACTGTTGTATGTTGGTATGTAGTGTTGTGGGTATATGAGTATGGGTGTTTGCTGGTACGCGGGTATGTTACTGTTGTATGTTGGTATGTAGTGTTGTGGGTATAAGAGTATGGGTGTTTGCTGGTACGCGGGTATGTTACTGTAGTATGTTGGTATGTAGGGTTGTGGGTATATGAGTATGGGTGTTTGCTGGTACGCCGGTATGTTACTGTTGTAGTATGTTGGTATGTAGTGTTGTGGGTATAAGAGTATGGGTGTTTGCTGGTACGCCGGTATGTTACTGTTGTATGTTGGTATGTAGGGTTGTGGGTATATGAGTATGGGTGTTTGCTGGTACGCGGGTATGTTACTGTTGTAGTATGTTGGTATGTAGTGATGTGGGTATAAGAGTATGGGTGTTTGCTGGTACGCGGGTATGTTACTGTTGTAGTATGTTGGTATGTAGGGTTGTGGGTATAAGAGTATGGGTCTTTGTTGTTGCGCGGGTATGTTACTGTTTTAGTATTTGGGTGTGTGGGTATGTAGAGTTGTGGGCATGTGAGTATGGGTGTTTGTTGTTGCGCGGGTATGTTGGTCTGTTACTGTTTTAGTATTTGGGTATGTGAGTATGTAGTGATGTAGGTATGTGAGTATGCATATGGGTGTTTGTTGTTGCGCGGGTATGTTACTGTTTTAGTAGTTTGGTATGTGGGTATGTAGGAATATGGATATGTGAGTATGAGCGTTTATTGGTACGCGGATATGTTGGTATGTAGGTAGGCAGATATGCGGGAAACATATAATTTGCATATATAAGCAATTCTCCACGTTCTACATCTTCAGAATTACAGTCTTCTACAGATAAGTAGAGTATAATATAATTTCAGCGATGGACACAGCTCATGTTGTCATCCTTCAGAGGAACCATACGTACCTGAAGGAATGGCTTCAGGTGGACCCTGTGCTGGACGCCTTGTACCAGGACGGTGTCTTCACACAGGTGGACCCTGTGCTGGACGCCTTGTACCAGGACTGTGTCTTCACACAGGTGGACCCTGTGCTGGACGCCTTGTACCAGGGCTGTGTCTTCACACAGACAGACTATGACAGGTGTAGGCAGGCTGGCGGAGAAAAGTGTGAGATGTTGTTGGAGATCCTAAAGAAAAAAGGAGTGGAAGGCTACAGAACACTGTGTACAGTCCTGGACACAACGCAACTATTTATAAAAGAACGCCTTGATCGGACCTCGACTGAAGCAGGTACAACGTCGTAATTTGTGAAGAGTGCACATTCTTAATTTATTCAGGAATTATTAGGAAGTATTCATGTGAGAAGGGGCGGTCGGGTAGCCCAGTGGTTAAAGCGTTCGCTCGTCACGCAGAAGACCCGGGTTCGATTCCCGACATGGGTACAATGTGTGAAGCCCATTTCTGGTGTCCCCCGCCGTGATATTGCTGTAATATTGCTAAAAGCGGCGTAAAACCATACTCACTCACTCATGTGAGAATGTTAAAGGATCTTATCTTCACAATCACAAGGGTTGGACAACTGAACGTCATTACACGGAGTAATGGCAAGGTATCATTTCAATCAATCATCCAATGTGGCCAAACGTGTATGTATTCTGCATTCTATTAGATAGATGTGTTTCATTTTTACCACTGGGTCCTTACGTTAATCTGGGGCTTCTACACATGATTCTACATGATCATGCCAAATAAGCTATCAGTCTTTTGAGATATTTCATAACCATACGATCATGCTTCAAGAAACGTATTATCCACTCTAAAAAGTGATGAAGTAAAGATGTAATTATTGTTTCAAATTTACATAAACCGACATAAGACATTACTCTCAACAATTAGTGACAGACTGATTTGGCACTATTTCAGCTTTGTTCAAATAGTGCAAAACCTGAACATGATACAAAAATACCAAGCGTTCCAAATGAAATAGCACATTGCTAATCACAGGAAGCAATCCGATGATATAGTTAATTTTGTTTGTTTGTTGTTTAACGCCGCACTCAGCAATATTCCAGTCATATGACGGCGGTCTGTAAAATAATCGAGTCTGGACTAGACAATCCAGTGATTGCCATCATGAGCATCGATCCACGCAATTGGGATACCATGACATGCATCAACCAAGTCAGCGAGCTTGACTACCCGATCCCGTTAGTCGCCTTTTACGACAAGCTTGGATTGCTGAAGACCTATTCTTCCCCGGATCTTGACGGGTCATCAGATGATATAATACTGGTACTTCGGTGAAGAACATAAACGTATATCTATTCTCTTTCAGGTCTGACAAGTGTTATCTTTGTTAATAAGATAAAGTTAGAAGCTCAGCATAGGAAGGAAATAGAGGAATATGAGAAGCAGATAGCTCTGTTACAATCAGTAAGTCAAACTCGCTTATTTCTCTGTACCACATAAACTATTTATTAATCAGTATTACTCTTTGGGAAACGTATCAAAATTGTGACTGTCCAATATCCAAGGCATGCAGAACTGTGAAGACCAATTTTCCGGAATGTCACGTGAGAAATTCGTCAAGGTTTATGATTGACCTTAATCACATTGCGAACCTGGTAATCAGCTGTGGTACCATAGACTTTTGAAATGGAATTTTAAAATTATTTTCTGGGTTTTGTAAGTTTATCCGTTTTACAATTTCTTCTTTCTTCAAGTTGATATATATTAAAACAATATCTTTATATATGAAACCAATTTTCACATTATTGAGAAAAGTAACAAAACTAAAATCAAAATACGAGTCCCAACTTAAACCCCTTTGTGTAGTTGCCAGATAACATCACAACATAGCGATCCACCTAACATTATACAGAAGAGATACAAGAAGAAAGGATTAACACACAGAAGTCTACAAACATTCCTCTAATGCGTTACACACACTGAGTATAACAAACAAACTACTGATTTTGAAGCGAAGTTTTCGGTTATTTCTATTTGAAAGCTCGTAAAAGTAACGGGGAGCCGTAGAAAACGAAGCAAGGGAGTTAACTGACTGTAAAAGTCCAGTTTCCAACCTTACCGAACTAATTATATAATCTGCAATAATGGAGTTACATTTTGGCTGTACTACAAGTCTATGCATAGTCCAATCAACTCGCGTAAAGAACTAGATATCCGGTTCGTAATTATATATATAAACAACATGGATTTCAACGTGCAGATTTCGGTCGACTGCAGGATTTGCAAAACATCTGTACCACCAGCTGGGCGTCGACAGATATTTTGCAAATTCTTTCATGTTTTTAAGCTAGGTGCTCACATGATTTGATACACATCACGGGGTAGGACCCGTTTTATTACAATACAGATCTTGACTATCGAGCAGATCGTCTTGCCTGGGCGCCGGGGTTTTGTTTGAAGCAAATGCAAGTGATATGAGAGATGGAATCTAATTTATCAATAGTTTGAACAAAGAAGGGACATAACTCGTAATAGCAACTGGTGACACTGGAAATTTCAGCCACTTTCGGCAAGGGTGGAAACTGGACTTTTAAAGTCGGTTAACGCCCTTGCCTCGTAGAAAATTCCTTCAATCGAACATTTCCGATAAGGTTCTTAACTTCGACCCACTTAATCGCAAAACTGATATCCTAAGAGATTCGGAATTTCATGATGAACACGTGAGTATCACCACTTCTATGCGTAATAAAATTCTTGTCAACATGAACCCCAAAATGCCGTGTAACTAATAACAAAAGGTTGGTTGGTTGGTTTGTTGTTTAACGCCGCACTCAGCAATATTCCAGCTATATGACGGCGGTCTGTAAATAATCGAGTCTGGACTAGACAATCCAGTGATTAATATCATGAGCATCAATCCACGCATTTGGGATCGATGATATGCATCAACAAAGTCAGCGAGCCTGACTACCAGATCCCGTAAGTCGCCTTTTACGACAAGCATAGTCACCATTTACGGCAAGCATGGGTTGCTGAAGACCTTTTCTACCCCGGATCTTCACGGGTTAATAATAAAAGGGAATTCGATAAGTACAAGTTTCTACTTATAACATGTCAACTTACATATCCACCAAATTATCGAGCACAGGCTTAACACTCCTTTTGCATTTTCATGTTATATGAAAAGATTAATACCACAGCGCTGTAAGGAGATATCACACTATATGAACAACGTTATTAACATACACTTTCAGTCGAGAGCCGAATAAAAAAAATAAAGTTTTCATCGGCTTACCAGCAAGTGATTAGGAATGTATTGAGACGGGGCACTCTGATAAACATATAGTGATGACAAAACGAATGTCTGTGTGTATTGATGTTCTTGAAAAATAGTGTAACAATATACTGGCAGTTGATTTGGTTAAAACAAATGGAAGGTGGTGTTCTTTCTCTCCTGGTCTAGGAATAACAATAATGTGGTCTTGCGAGGCAAGCAAGTACTGCTTTCTATTTAAGGTCATTACGTCACATTAAACCAATTCTTTAAACTCTGATTCAAAAGTAACACCGGTTTAACTGTTAGGATAACTGTAAAGATATAGAATGTGCTCATGTTTTCGCAAGTAAGCGTTTATTTGGTTAACAAATTCCACTCCTGATCATGTTGTCCGCAGAGAATGTGGGCGCTATCCCTTGTATGTCACAGTTAATAAGCAATGTGTACAATAATGGTGCAAACTTGTATGAATGAAACTAGATTTCCAAGAGGAGCTCCATACATGATGCTGCAACTGGTTTCACATGAAATCAACTGCACGGCAAAAATAAAATTACTGCTGTGTATTTTTGGATTCGGTTAGACAGTATGTCGACACAGTTGATTCGTTTCTCTCTGAATTAACTCAGCGTTTAAAATGTGCTTAATTTGAAAAGATGGGCATTGGTCGTTTTCCAACAGTTCCAAAACGAGCTATCATATAAATTTTAGACATACCCTTGAAACAGAATTTTATTTGTTTAATTTATATATTAATAAATTTCGCATTGCGTTGGCACAGTTTCGCCGTTGTACTCATTCTCGTTTCATGGAAAATGGCAGGTATTCAAATATTCCTTGGGAACTGAGATTCTGCCAGTATGTAATAGAATTTTGGTTGAAAAATGAGTATCATTTCTTGCTTGTATGTAAATTTTACATCAACTTAATATACTTACATATACATAAGAAGTATTGTATTAACCCTAATAAAACTAGATTTAATGTTTAAAGGCTTCCAAACATATATTTATTTTAGTGAAATGTTGCCATGTTTATCCTCGAGGGTAGGGAACTGAGAAAAGCAGCCTTAAAATAACGAACTCATTTAAAATAACGAACTCAAGTGTTCTGTGATTACCTCCCTTCATCTGCCAAGCGGTGTCTGATCAGGTGAACATGTTTGATGGAAAACATAAGTACCGAATAAGAATCGAATTGATACAATAATATATTCATTTAAATATGTATATATATATATCAATTGATTTCTTTAAATTAGTTAAATAAACAGCATTCAGCTGCGCATATTTGTAAAAATGACATTAATCCTACTGTTGATTGAAATGATGTCAGTGATGTATTATTTAGTTGCAGGCCTATATTTTTATTTTCTTTCCAGGACATTAATGACCTCAAACAGCAGTTGGAACAGCTGAGAGGGATTCAGGACACACTAGAGAAGACTAAACACAAGGAGGCAAAAGATCATATTTCACAGATCAAGGAGCAAGGCGTACATATAGAAGAGTGTGCGTTATAATTTTGATTTTGAAAGTGATTTATTATTGAGTAAGAATTTATTAAACGACGGTTAATCCTTTTCAGTCATTGTGGTGATATATATTACCTGGATATGATTGTCCAAATTTTCTGGATCCGTTTGGCCTGATAAGAATAATTTTGCCTTATGTTTTCAGTGCAATTCCATTTAGCAAAGTCACAAAGGGACCTACTGAAGGCCAACGAAAAATGTGACAGACTCAAGAAGGTATGCTGCAGATTATATCCTTATATCCATCTGCATATGCAAAGTGAGTGAGTGAGTAAGGTTTTACGCCGTTTTTAGCAATATTCCAGCAATATCATGGCGGGGGACACCAGAAATGGGCTTCACACATTGTACTCATGTGGGGAATCGAACCCGAGTCTTCGGCGTGACGAGCGAACGCTTTAACCACTAGGCTACCCTCACCGCCTCTCATGTGCATAGGATGACAGATTGTAGAGATCATGATCTAATTCATGCCACCCATAATAAACATGAAGGACTGTCCACAGAGGTGAGGCGAAATGAGGTTTTACGTCGAGTTCAAGATTTTATATATTTATCGACGTGCATGCACGTGTATTTGTGCGGCTGCTCATAGTAGTCTGGACTTATGTCGGCTTTACAGCGCTAGGCTTCACAAATAACATGTCGGCGTTTAACATAAATACCTCATTCAGACACATTATGCTGACTTGCACGAAGCTGGTTGTCGCATAATTGGAATTGGCTTTAATCACATTTACTCGCATTACAATTATGCCTGTATACAACCTAAATCTTATAATGTTATACACTTGAGAGATCCGTGAAGATCAGGGATAGAATAGGTCTTCAGCAACCCATGCTTGCCGTAAAAGGCGACTATGCTTGCCGTAAAAGGCGACTAACGGGATCGGTGGTCAGACTCGTTGACTTGGTTGATGCATGTCATCGATCCCAATTGCGTGGATCGATGTTCATGATGTAAATCACTTGATTGTCTGGTCCCGACCCGATTATTTACAGACCGCCGTCATATAGCTGGAATATTGCTGAGTTCGGCGTAAAACAACAAACCAAACCAAAACCAAATCTAATAAGTATTTGATTTTCCTGGGTTGAAATGCAATTGTGTTATTTGTTTGGGGTCTTGAACGTATTTTCCTACTATAAGACATAAATTTAAACACGAAAGGACACCTCAGGCATAGTTTCATTAGAGGAGTGTCTTATCCTCTTTTGAATGATTTGATATTACTTGTAGATGCAGGGGCGGTCGGGTAGCCTAGTGGTTAAAGCGTTCGCTCGTCACGCCGAAGACCCGGGTTCGATTCCCGACATGGGTACAATGTGTGAAGCCCATTTCTGGTGTCCCCCGCCGTGATATTGCTGGAATATTGCTAAAAGCGGCGTAAAACCATACTCACTCACTCACTCACTCACTTGTAGATGCTGGAGGAAGAAAAAGAAGCCTATAAAGCGTTAGTGGGACTTCCTGCACCACGTACTCCAGACACGTCAGGAAACACAGGAGAGGACATGGATGAAGGTACAGGATCAGATACAGAGGAAACTAATACCAATACAAATACCATGAAACTGTCAAACAATTTACCGAACCGCAAAAGAAACGTCACCATGTCGCTGGTGTGTCCCCATGGTCTGTCGAGCAGTTTCCGAAACAGTAACGAAGCGATCTTGAGGATGCTGTCTGACGATCCTGACGTCGGGTGGTGACCCTTGGTCTTCCACTACGTAGTAGGTCATCTGTAGTGTTGCTGGAGCCTGTATATGGCCCTTACGTGGACTTGCAATGCATTGGCTACTTGCCGGGTGGTTTGTCCAGCTTCCAATCGTCCGAGGGCTTGGTGTCGCTGATTTCTTGTCAATCTTGGCATGTGGGAGCAATTCAATATCGAATGAATGTTATCCGATCTGGGTGGAGTTTTACAGGGCAAGAAATGTGCATTTCAATTTGCACGGAACTCACGTGCATCGGGTTACCATGGCCGTTGCCGTGATGCGTTTGGGTGATCGGTTTTATTGTCATATGCTTTGTTTTTTTATCATAAAATTTCATTTTTTCAAGACAAGGTTATGTTAAATTTGAGAAACTTTGACAAAAATACCCCGATATTTAAATGACAACTTTTCATGCAATGTTACTTGAGGTGACGTTTCTTTTACGGTTCAGTACATATCCATTGCGTATTGCTGAAACTGAACTAAGCACGGTCTGCTTTAGATAAGTTTTCACTGAGGCACTGAAAATGCCTGAAAACCCTTTTGTTTCTCTGTTTAGCAAGGCCATGTATTGACAAGAAGCAGACCTGTGTGCTTTCGGTGCATGGCCACTGTGATGTAGACAAATTACGTCTTCTTCCATGTCTGCATGCTGCTTGTGAGTCATGTATAGAAAAGCACCTTAACGAAGAAAGACGCTACAAGCTAGTGTGTCCATGTGGACAGACCTTCACTATGGGGGAAACTGCACCTGACTTTGTTAGGCGTAATGAAGCTGCATATGCTGCTAATTCTGAAAAAGAAAAGAGATGTTCCTACCTTCAAATGACTCACGATACCAATTGTGTTGTTTACTGTAAAGAATGCAATGATAATCTTTGTCCAAACTGTCTCAATATTCATAATTCAGTAAGGCAAAACAGCAATCACACTGTTCGTGAAATCAGCGAGACAAAGCTAACATCCATCGACAGGCTGCTTAGACAAGAGTCCCATTGTGGGGAACATCCTGACAACAAGCTACAATTGTATGACCACGACTGCAGAAAGCCGATATGTGTTGTTTGCTTGCATGGAGCTCATGAACGTCACATGAATTCAGATTTGAAGCACCTTCATGATGAAACAAAGAACCATCTCTTGGAGGAACTGGGAAAGCAAGAGAGTAAACTTCAAGATATCAGAGATACACTTAAATGTGCTAAACATCACCGACATGAATTAGAAGAAACAAACCTTAAACTTGAAACAGACATAATGACAATACACAGGAATGTTGCTGTGAAATTTCTAAGACGACAAGCAACACTTCTTCAAGACATTCCACTGAACCTTAAGGTCCACAATGAAGCAGTTCAGGCACAGATAGATCTTGCCAATGTTGTTGAGGCCTCAGTAGTTAGAACCATAGACTACATCCAGCGAGCTTTAAAGTCAACAAGACATTGGGAACTCATCTGTTTGACCAAAACGATAAATAAAATGTCTGAAGAAAATATGAAGGCAGGAAAATTTACAGCAGATTCAAGGAGCACACAAGTTAGATTCTGCTTCCAAGGAAAGAAGGCATTAGAAGAACTCATTGACATTTCCGGTTGTTTGGCTACCACTATGAAGCCAGATGACATCCCAGATAAACAGCCTACCATTGCAGGTACAGCTCTTCATTTCCTTGAAAACAAAAACAAATTGTATTTTCTAAACGAATACTATTATCAGCCAGCTCAAGCTTGTTACTGTATCTTTATCACATACGTTTATCTGATATAAAACAACTTTTAAGTCATGACTCTTTTTGACAGACCTCCAAAACCAAATAGACATCTTTGCACAGAATGCCTCCAAACTGGAAAACAGGCTTGATGAAACTTTAAAGGTAAGGTAATACCAGCAAATGCACACATGCATTGAGGTGAACTGTTTCTGACATTTATATTATTGTAATTCCAAGAGAACTTACCTTCATATCTATGCATGTTATTGAAGGAAGTGGTAGTGCAAATGAAAGGGAAATGAATATTAAGAAGTAGTGCAAATGAATGGGAAATGAATATTAAGAAGTGTAAAATAATCTCGAGGTAAATGTTAGTTAAAAACATTTATACAGTAAACTACGGTTATAACGAACACGCTTATAAAGAACTGACGGATATAACGAACTAACATTTTAGTCCCGACTACTTGCTGTAGTTATGCTGTACATATGCTTATAACGAATTACGGTTATAACGAACTAAAATAAGTAGTCCCTTTGAGTTCGTTATAACCGTAGTTTACTGTATTTCTATTTGTCAGGTGGTGTCGATACATCAACAGAGATGGATGGATCGTATGCAAACTTCTTGGTATGAGTTTGTTTAAGAGGGTATTGAATGGAGCAGAATTGGTCATAATTGTAGAAAATACATCTACATTTCGAGAGAACAATAGAAACAGGGTGTGTGAATATACAAATTTGGTTGAAATAGTGTCTGCAGCGAATTCTTTCAGTGTTTTATTACCTTTGCGGCTGAACTAATGCGTCGATTCTTTGAAGGTGTTAACCTGCAAGAACACACACAAACCCAAATGGTGGTAAGCAACAGAGACGTTCAACCAGGGAGCCCGCCAAGGACACCTGATGTGTATGAATTGATAAAAACCGTAAGTTCCTTACATTTGTGAAAATAGTAACTGCCCATTCCCTCATCTTAGTGACAGATACCTGATACATTACAGAATATACGTATGGAACTTTTCATGGAAAACTAAGCTTTCTGTTAATTTGTGTTTGATAGTGAACTTGGAGTGAGACAAGGCTGCATACTAAGTCCTTTTTTGTTTTCATTTTTTATTAATGAGTTAGCAACACAAATTCAAGAGAGTGTACAAATGGAATTCAGCTACATCCTGACATGACGCAATTAATTTTACTATTATTTGCGGACGAGTAGCATTGGCGGCTTACAGACACAAATTAACGAATTTGAAAAATACTGTAATGAATGGAAATTAACTGTAAACAAAGATACAACGAAGATCGTTGTTTTTAAAAATGGAGGGATACTTGCTCAAAAGGAAAAATGGCTCTACAAAGGGGAACGCCTAGAAACTACCTCTTTCTACATGTATTTATATTAGGTGTATATTTAGCAAATTATCTTACTTGGTCTATGCATGCAAAGCAAGCATCGATGCAAGGTATTGATTCGCGTGTTGAAACAAATCTATATTCTTGTAAATATTACTTACAAGTCGTTCTTCAAGATATTTGTCCGATATTACTATATGGAGCAGAGATATGGGGACTCAGTAAGCTTGAAAAACTAGAAAAAGGTCATGTATATGCCTGCAAGAAATTCCTTGGTGTTAAGGTTAACAGACCAAGTGTTATGGTATATGGTGATTGTGGCAGATTTCCAATGTATATATATTCATATATAAAGGTTATCAAATATTAGTTGAGATTATTGAATATGCCATCTTATAGGTTCCCGAAAAAAAGTTAATATATGATGGTCCTCCTTGATAAAAATGGAAAACGAAATTGGGCAACAGACGTAAAAGACTTGCTGTTTTCCGTTGGTTATGGCTATGTACCGTGTCAACAAAATATACAATGTCATTCTTATTTCATTAGACCATTGACACAAAGACTTAAAGATATATTTTTACAAAACTGGTCTCAATCTGTATCTGAATCAAACAAAAGTATCTATTACAAAATGGTAAAAGAATTATCTATATCCCGAACAGTATTTATCTCGTTTAAATGTAAAAAAATCCGGGTTTCCTCAGCAAGATTTCGCTGTTGTTCACATTATCTACTTATTGAAACTGGGCGTTACACGGGTATTAAAAGAGAAGAACGTATTTGTCAATTGTGCGCTCTGAATGACATTGAAGATGAATATCACTTCATTTTTATATGCTTATTTTATGCAACATTAAGGGCTAAGTATATACCTTAATATTACTATGTCAATCCCAATTTCTTTAAATTCACATCTCAGTTAAACAACTCGAAGTACTTTCTTTTACAAAATTTATCTCTGTACATTTATCATGCAATGAGACACAGGAAAAATATATGGACTCCACTGCATTATAAGTGTACTGGGGGCGGTCGGGTAGCCTAGTGGTTAAAGCGTCCGCTCGTCACGCCGAAGACCCGGGTTCGATTCCCGACATGGGTACAATGTGTTAAGCCCATTTCTGGTGTCCCCCGCCGTGATATTGCTGTAATATTACTAAAAGCGGCGTAAAACCATACTCACTCACTCACTATAAGTGTACTGGGTCTGGGACCTCCTCAGTACGGAAATAAAGAGATAGCTTCAATCGCATTAAAGTAGATTTACAAAAGCCTGTAAGTATGAGTTAATCGTTCATTAAACTTTTGACTTGTTATATTCCCCTGTCTGCATAGATGATGTCTGAGGGTGTCAGGTCTCATGATGTACATCAATCATGTATCAAACTGAAAGGTTAGTAGTATCATCCCTATGTTGTTGTATAGCACATGCCATTATTACACACCCTATGTTGTTGTACAGCGCATGCCATTATAACAATCCCTATGTTGCTGTACAGCACATGCCATTATAACAATCCCTATGTTGTTGTACAGCACATGTCATTATAACAACCCCTATGTTGTTGTACAGCACATGCCATTATAACAACCCCTATGTTGTTGTACAGCACATGTCATTATAACAATCCCTATGTTGTACTGTTATGCCATTATAACAATCCCTATGTTGTTGTACAGCACATGTCATTATAACAACCCCTATGTTGTTGTACAGCACATGCCATTATAACAACCCCTATGTTGTTGTACTGTAATGCCATTAAAACAATCCCTATGTTGTTGTACTGTAATGTCATTAAAACAATCCCTATGTTGTTTTACAGCAGATGCCATTATAACAATCCCTATGTTGTTGTACAACACATGCCATTATAACAATCCCTATGCTGTACTGTCATGCCATTATAGCAATCCCTATGTTGTTGTACAGCACATGCCATTATAACAATCCCTATGTTGTTGTACAACACATGCCATTATAACAATCCCTATGCTGTACTGTCATGCCATTATAACAATCCCTTTGTTGTTGTACAGCACATGTCATTATAACAATCCCTATGTTGTTGTACTGTTATGCCATTATAACAATCCCTATGTTGTTGTACTGTTATGGCATTATAACAATCCCTATGTTGTTGTACTGTAATGCCATTATAACAATCCCTATGTTGTTGTACTGTAATGTCATTAAAACTTTCCCTATGTTGTTGTACTGTAATGCCATTAAAACTTTCCCTATGTTGTTGTACTGTAATGCCATTAAAACAATCCCTATGTTGTTGTACTGTAATGCCATTATAACAATCCCTATGTTGTTGTACTGTAATGTCATTAAAACTTTCCCTATGTTGTTGTACTGTCATGCCATTATAACAATCCCTATGTTGTTGTACTGTCATGCCATTATAACAATCCCTATGTTGTTGTACTGTCATGCCATTATAACAATCCCTATGTTGTTGTACTGTCATGCCATTATAACAATCCCTATGTTGTTGTACTGTAATGCCATTATAACAATCCCTATGTTGTTGTACTGTTATGCCATTATAACAATCCCTATGTTGTTGTACTGTTATGGCATTATATCAATCCCTATGCTGTCGTACTGTCATGCCATTATATCAATCCCTATGTTGTTGTACAGCACATGCCATTATAACAATCCCTATGTTGTTGTACTGTAATGTCATTAAAACTTTCCCTATGTTGTTGTACTGTAATGCCATTATAACAATCCCTATGTTGTTGTACTGTCATGCCATTATAACAATCCCTATGTTGTTGTACTGTAATGCCATTATAACAATCCCTATGTTGTTGTACTGTCATGCCATTATAACAATCCCTATGTTGTTGTACTGTAATGTCATTATAACAATCCCTATGTTGTTGTACTGTTATGGCATTATAACAATCCCTATGTTGTTGTACTGTTATGGCATTATATCAATCCCTATGCTGTCGTACTGTCATGCCATTATAACAATCCCTATGTTGTTGTACTATCATGCCATTATAACAATCCCTATGTTGTTGTACAGCACATGTCATTATAACAATCCCTATGTTGTTGTACAGCACATGTCATTATAACAATCCCTATGTTGTTGTACTGTTATGGCATTATAACAATCCCTATGTTGTTGTACTGTTATGGCATTATATCAATCCCTATGCTGTCGTACTGTCATGCCATTATAACAATCCCTATGTTGTTGTACAGCACATGCCATTATAACAATCCCTATGTTGTTGTACTGTAATGTCATTAAAACTTTCCCTATGTTGTTGTACTGTAATGCCATTATAACAATCCCTATGTTGTTGTACTGTCATGCCATTATAACAATCCCTATGTTGTTGTACTGTCATGCCATTATAACAATCCCTATGTTGTTGTACTGTCATGCCATTATAACAATCCCTATGTTGTTGTACTGTAATGTCATTAAAACTTTCCCTATGTTGTTGTACTGTAATGCCATTATAACAATCCCTATGTTGTTGTACTGTCATGCCATTATAACAATCCCTATGTTGTTGTACTGTCATGCCATTATAACAATCCCTATGTTGTTGTACTGTCATGCCATTATAACAATCCCTATGTTGTTGTACTGTCATGCCATTATAACAATCCCTATGTTGTTGTACTGTCATGCCATTATAACAATCCCTATGTTGTTGTACTGTCATGCCATTATAACAATCCCTATGTTGTTGTACTGTCATGCCATTATAACAATCCCTATGTTGTTGTACTGTAATGCCATTATAACAATCCCTATGTTGTTGTACAGCACATGTCATTACAACAATCCCTATGTTGTTGTACTGTTATGCCATTATATCAATCCCTATGTTGTTGTACTGTCATGCCATTATAACAATCCCTATGTTGTTGTACTGTCATGCCATTATAACAATCCCTATGTTGTTGTACTGTCATGCCATTATAACAATCCCTATGTTGTTGTACAGCACATGTCATTATAACAATCCCTATGCTGTACTGTAATGCCATTATAACAATCCCTATGTTGTTGTACTGTCATGCCATTATAACAATCCCTATGTTGTTGTACAGCACATGTCATTAAAACAATCCCTATGCTGTACTGTCATGCCATTATAACAATCCCTATGTTGTTGTACTGTTATGTCATTAAAACAATCCCTATTTTGTTGTACAGCACATGCCATTATAACAATCCCTATGTTGTTGTACTGTTGTTGCCATTATCCTATTTATATATGTTTCAAATGCAAATGTGTTTGTCAAAATAGTTCAATTTTGGAATAAGTCTTTTCCTAATGTTTAAAACTGATTTATGTTCCAGTTTGCCCCTCTAATGTGGACATTGTAGGACATGGTGCCAGTGCCAGACTGCTTGTATGTAAGTATCGTGGAGATTCCACTGCCAACTGATAGTACACAAATACTTCTGTTTCCCTACACAGCACGGATACACGGAAGGTTTGGTATATCCTAATATAAGTACATAACCATATACAAGAGTGAATAAATATACAGTGTGGGATGGCTGCCTATGTTGCCACTAAATGCTAGAGTCAGCACCACGTTACAGAGTAAAGTATACTACTAAATATTAGTTAAGAAGTGGATCGTATTATGTAACAGTGATTGAGTGAGTTTTCATCAACACCGCTTTTAACATTATTCCAGTTATATCACGACGTGTCAGCTTAATGTGGGAGGAAGCCCAAAGTGATGCAGGTCTCAGACGTTTAACACTTTGGTGAAACCCACGAGCACGGGTATGGGGCTGACAAACCTAGAAACATAATCGGGGCGAACCGGGATTCGAACTCACAATCATAGGTTTCTGGCGTGCCCAAGGGACACAACCACCTCGGATTATGTAATAGAGTAAAGGTTGCCACTGATGACAGAGTGTACTAGGCATGTTTGGCTGATAGAAGAAAGTATTGTACAGGGTATAACCATATCTGCAATTTCAATAATCTTGAATATCTTTCCACTTTAGGCCCTGTACTTCACATGGATGCTGCTCGAGCAAATAAGAAGTGTTGCCACGTAAACTCCCATGGAGAGCTTATCAATTCACCACCCGACACACATGAACAGGACAGACACAGTTTTAAGGTGTATCTTGGCACCTGCAGCTCTACGCCAGTATTCGTTCCTCAACAGCCATCCGCAAAACCCAACTCCGACCCTCCCAGTCCGCAATACTGGGAGACACTATCAGTGGTTGGTGTTGCGAGTGAAGAGTTGCATCTGTCAATCCTGGAGACAGGCGTGTCTGAGGAGGTACAGATGGACAAATGGTACCGGGCTTGTAATCAGTTCCGGTCCTGGAGTGTCCGTGTATGGAGTTGCGACAGACATCAAGGGAGAATCTGTACCATTGTGTATCGGGAGGGTGAGCGAGGAAGATGTCTAACGGATACTATGCCTCATTCACCTGGAGCACAGGCAACCCTCCACTATGGCGTAGTGTTGGATGTTGAAAGGGGGAGACTCGGTTTCATCGACCTTGACCGAGAGGTTGTGTTAGCCAAAATTGATGTAGAGATAAGAGAACCACTTTACCCGATGTTTGGCGTAGTCCCAAAGTCAAGTGAGTGCACCGTGAATATGAAACTTATCTGCGGGAAAGACATCACAATGACCGCCATGAAGAAATCTCTCATATACAAAGTGCTGACACAATGAACTGGGTGTATGGATGCATTAAAATTAGACTCTGAATTGGATATCAGAGACAAAGAAATGAAACTGAAATGAATCAAAATGACATCAATGCTGTCGAGTTGGGACATACATTAATCTCGTGACCCATTTAACGATGCAAATGTTCATCTCCAATGTTTACCTGCAATTAACACAACTTTTAAAATTCCGTTCTTTTGTGATTTTTCCAGTTTACAATGTATTTATAAATATATCAAATATAGAACATAATGAGTATATTACATTACATTTACTGCTAACATATTGACGATGTGAAGAGAAATCCTACATCCATGGAACTTATCTCTCCTCATATCGAGTGTGTTGAAATTATTTTATATTTTATGTATGTATAAATGGACCGTTTGTATGTTCACAGTACGAGTGAGTGAGTGAGTGAGTATGGTTTTACGCCGCTTTTAGCAATATTCAAGCAATATCACGGCGGGGGACACCAGAGTTCACAGTACGATAGTTGTTAGCATGGTTATCATGTGTCAGGTGTAATCCCCAGAGGTGACTACTTTAATATTGATGAAATAGTTACAAATGCTCACCAAACAGACATGACGTCAATGTGGATATTGTTCTTGAAACATGTTCAAATGAAGATGCGCCTAAACTATTTTGAGAATATTTTAGTTTGAATGTTTGAATGAAATACATGTACAGACAATATTTACCACATAGGATGATATCGATCGCCCATTCAAAATGCACTGCTGTCTCAGCCGGCATATAATACAGGTCTGGTTATGACACCCCCTGTCATACGACCGTCTATATCTTGGCTTCATCTCAATGCAAAATGCCTCATATCATTGCTAGGTATGTGATAATGCACTATGTCTATGGGGGCGACCGTTCAGCCATTGCGTCGTCTAGCTTCATCTATGTGGAACAGCTCAAAAAACACTTCCCTCTAAAAATAACGTCGTCCTATTTACGACGTCATCATGTTGAGACCGCAAGTTCGAATCTCCAGAAATGACCTCATGATAGAACAATGTTTTATCGTGAAATAAACCACGCTTCGTTCTTCATAGTTCCTCGCGATTAATCGCGAAGCAATCTCATATTACACAATAATGTATAATCTTCGTCATAACGACCCGTGAAGATCCGGGGTAGAATAGGTCTTCATCAACCCATGCTTGCTGTGAAAGGCAGTTATGCTTGTCGTAAAAGGCGACTGACGGGATCGGGTGGTCAGGCTCGCTGACTTGGTTGATGCATGCCATCGTATCCCAATTGCGTGGATCGATGCTCATGATGTCAATCACTGGATTGTCTGGTTCAGACTTGATTATTTACAGACCACCGCCATATAGCTGGAATATTGCTGAGTGCAGCGTTAAACAACAAACATATGGATCACATTTTTTACAAACCAGGATCGCCCATTCAAAATGCACTGACAAGCCGTATCAGCCCAGGAGGGGATATAATACATTATCATGTATAGAGGTACCAATTAGTAAAATATATTTAAATAAATATAACAGCAACAGAACAATCAATCTCATTAAAATCAGATCTTAGTTCTCGCTACCGCTAAACTAAGATCTGAGGACATCCCATTACGGGTCACGTCAGACCGACCTTGCGCGAACTTTGACCGACCAATGGAATGACCAATCAGAAGGCAGCTTTCTCGTGCTTTACGGCACTAATTTCAAATTGGCGACTACGCTTCGAAACATATTTTGACAAATTCTCGATTACAAATTTGAAACCTGTACAAAAGAACATTCTGGAATGGTCAATAGCTGGTCTAGATTGTAAGGATTCAGTCGATAAACCCGCAACTATCGTTCGGAATACCCCATGTTAAAGTTTTCGAGGTTGCATGATTAGAAATCACATTCCGACTGTCACTTTCATAATGTGGTAAGCGACGCTCTGATTGATCGGATGAAAGGTCGTTCTGACGTGACCCCTAATGGGATGTCTTCAGATCTTTGTTCAGCGGTAGCGAAAACTAAGGTCTGATTTAAATGAGATTGCAGAACAATATATTGATGTTCATGAACCCAGAAATTCACCACGGCACCGCCATAGTATTTACGGGTTTCCCGTCAATGGCAGGCATACGTGCTGCCCTGGCCTGTTCAATCTACTTGTGAAGGAGTGTGAAACATCGACCAGTTTGGTCCCCAAGCATCTAACACCGAATGAACCTTGTTCCCTTATAGAATGTTGATGTTATTGTTAATGCACAAAGTACAAAATACTCATTCACAGACATTAAGTGTGCCTACTCAAAGTTCAAGGCAATGCTGATAAGAATAGTGTCCTATGTCTTTAATATAGAGAATATGGAAGCATGTTTATACATGACATTGTACTTTTTACTTCAAACAATAATCTAAGATTTTATCAACTGACCTCAGCAAGAACTTATATGTTTCAAATAAAATGTGATTTCATTACGTGTATTTCATGTCATCTTCCTGTATGTTTCGTTGTGTATTGGACCGCCTCCGTGGTCTAGTGGTAGAGTGTCCGCCCGGAGAGCGGAAGGTCCGGGGTTCGATCCCCGGCCGCGTCATACCAAAAGACGTTAAAAGATGGTACTTAATGTTACCCTGTCTGACGCTCGGCATTAAGGGACTAAAACAAGAACTGGTCGGCTCGGAGTCAGTATACTGTGTCTGAGTGTGGTATTCATGTTACACTGCGGCATGGTATCCCAGTGAGCTAGCACTATAAATCGGCATCAGTCCGGACTAGTACAAGCAGCCACACAAACATACACACGTACATGCACCTCGCTATATAAGTGCAATAATCTTGGACGCGACGTTAAACACCATTTCACCTCACCTCGTTGTGTATTGTACCAGAAACCACCAAGTAAGCAATCCGCTGCTAATAGCTTAGTTATCTCCCTTGCTACAGTAAACGCGACAGGACGGGCTTTTGTAATCATATATATCCTCAACGTGTGTAACAAAACGTCAATGGAACATTAGATCGACTAAAATATATAAGAGGGTACATTCAAACTGATCATATTGTAATTGAGTAAAATGATTCACGTTTTCTTAGGGTATGTTTAACAATGTAATGAGTGCATAACCTTCTAAATTCCTCTGAATGATGTTTGCTCCTGACTCACCGTGTTGGCAGTTTGACATTACACAGGAAAAGCACTCATTGAACAAGGAAGTAAACATATTTATCCAACGATTGTCTAATACTGCACAGACGGTCAGGGCTCGTCAGTTGAAGGTAGGTAGTTTGTGATTATGATAAGCGACTTATGTCTGATATAAGCAGAATCAATATATTGTTTGTTTGTTGTTTAACGCCGCACTCAGCAATATTCCCCTACTTTTTGACAAACTTTCCAACGAAGAGAAGAGGTAAACATAAGCTCAACTTGAACTTTCAGAACAAGTGAGCAAACCATTTCCTATACACAGTAGCTTACACACATACGTTGTTTAACGCCGCACAAATATTACAGCTATATAACGGCGGTCTGTAAATAATCGTGTCTGGACCAGACAATACAGTGATTGATATCATGAGCATCGAGCTACGCAAAAGGGATACAAGGGCATGCATCAACCAAGTCAGCGAACCTGACCACCCGATCCCGTTAGTCGAATCTAACGACAAGCATGGGCGCCTTTTACAGCAAGGATGGCCTGGGTTGCTGAAGACCTATTCTACCCCGGATATACACGGGTCGCATTGGTATGTAGGAAATGAGACAAATATCCTTGTCCTTTGAGGTTAAGTCATGAATGAACGATTTCCACTGAGGATCTATGATAAGAATGAGTGAGTGAGTGAGTTTGGTGTAACGTCTCTACGAACGGCATCTCAGCTATAGCACTGCTTGATAAGGGAGGGAGGAAATTTGATGCAGGTCTTGGGCGTTTAAAACTTTGATACGGATGGGATGGTGAGAAATCTAAAAGCATGGTCATGGCAAATATGGAATTCGAGCCCACGTTCATGGGTTTAAGACACGCATGAGGCACAATTCGGCGAATTGTCGCGCCTCGTACGACCGGACCACCCGTGCACTCTTGTTAGTATAGGTGCAAGGACAGCGTTATATCAGGCAACACCATATTGTTTTCTTTGTCACAGACATAAAATAGGAAACGCATACATAACAGCTCCTTCTCACAATCGGAATATATATTTACTTAATAAGTCTCTCTCAAGTATACCTTCTCTGAATAACAAATTAAATGCAAACGGTACGTTTCCTGATTATTGATATCTGAGCCCGCAGTTCTGTCTGCTGTGCCGTAAAATTTTATATTAAATGCTGCTTTGGTATAACATTGTCGCAGATTCCGTCTATCCACTGTGTATGTCAATATTCAATTTGGGCACCAACAATTACTGTACAACTGAATTTGGCCAACGTATTTCTACGTAGCAGTAATCTTTCTCCCGCTCAGAACGTTTGGCTATTGAAAGGATAGGCCGCGTCTATTATCATTGATGAATACCCATTGGTAACACGTCTTACAAATCATAGCTGTATGGTTGTATTTAATAGGAAAATACCCAACAGACATACATTCCTTTCAGAGAAAATCTGCTGTAGATAATGAGTGAGTGAGTGAGTGAGTGAGTGAGTATGGTTTTACGCCGCTTTTAGCAATATTCCAGCAATATCACGGCGGGAATATACCCATGTCGGGAATCGAACCAAGGTCTTCGGCGTAACGAGCGAACGCTTTAACCACTAGGCTACCCGACCGCCCCTGTAGAAAATGAAGTAATTGTTGTACATATAAGCTATAAATGGCGGACAGTAATCAGTCATGTCTTAACCATGAGCATCGTTGGGGTAAGTGACTTAGATCAAGTGAGGTAAGGCACACATGGTACACACTCAACGACTTTAATTATAAACGTTATGGATAAGTCTTGTTACTTTTTTGTTTTTGCTTTGTCATGGAAATACCATAGTCTAGAGTTTTGAAAATATTATCGAATGTAAAATTACTATGAGAGTACTAAAGAAATGAATTTGTGTAATAAAAAGTAAGATTACTAATCCACTTGGAACCTATAAAAAGTATTAAAAGAACATAAGAAATCCAACGGTGTAAAGTTATAATTTTTACATGTGAATATTATGCTATATTTCTGAATGTATAAACATTCAAAAGGAACAGGATCAATAAACATGTTTATATATAAACTAGTGTCCAAAAGAAACGATACCACACATTTTTCAAAATATTTTTTTATGAAGAGTTAATTTTCGTCTGAAAAGGTACTTTTGCGTATCCTACGTTCCAAACCAAACGTATTCGGTCGATAAAACCGGGAACATTTGATCAATTGAGAAAAAAGCGTGCAATTTGCCCAAATGACGTTCCGTCCCGTAACACGAAATGCACGTGCATATCTTCTGTAGATCTTCTGAGAGAGAGAGAGAGAGAGAGAGAGAGAGAGAGAGCCGTTGGAATGCTCCAACAGGGAGCTACACACCGCGACGTCGCCAGAAGGTTAGGATGCCCGCGCATAACCGTCACCAGGTGAATGCAGCGGTTGCGTCAAACAGGTCGGACAGCAGACAGGCCGAGAAGCGAGAGACCACGGGTGACCACGCCTCTTGAAGACCGCCACATCCGGGTACTTCACCTTCGGAACCGCTTCGTAACGGCGACGTTAACGGCACGGACGGCATTGGGACTCGTGATAAGTCGACAAACCGTGTACAGGAAACTGTGGGCACATGGTATCCGAACACGTCGCCCCTACCGCGGAGCGTTCCTGACACCTCAACACCGACTCAACAGACGGATATGGGCCACGCGACTTCGACGGTGGCAACGGTGGAACTGGGCACGTGTCATGGTTTCTGACGAAAGCAGATTTTGCATCTTCGGGAACGACGGCCGGCAGCGTGTGTACCGAAGAGGAGGTGAACGTTTGGCACCGAACTGTATCCATCAAGTCAGGCCATATGGAGGCGGAGGTTTCATGGTTTGGGGTGGAATCTGCGGTGACGTCGTTATTCCAGGAAACCTGAATGCGCAGCGTTATCGCGATGACATCTTACAACCAGTTGTTGTGCCATTCATCCAACAAGAGCCTAATGGTATCATTTTCCAGCACGATAATGCGAGGCCTCACGCGGCAAGGCTGACCCAGAACTTCCTAGCAAACGCCAACATTCACGTTTTACCATGGCCGGCATGTTCAACGGACATGAACCCAATCGAATACATGTGGGACATTCTCTGCCGCAAAGTCAGAAATCGCCCTATGCCTCCAGGAATTGGAACAATGCCTCCACCATGAATGGCAACGCATCCCCCCAAACGTCATCAGACGTCTGACGTCATCAGCCCGTAGACGTGTACTAGCGTGTACTGACGCTCACGATGGACATAACCGGTACTAACGTGACTTTGAGACGTGTGTTGTGACATTTTTCACACTTGACTCATCAACTGTGTTCAAATGAAATTCTCATTTTGGACCCCCCGCGTCTTTACATGTCTGTCCTCATGATTGTAAAGGATTGATTACAATGAATTCTTGTACACGTACTGTGAAAACATTACTCACAAGTCATATACCAATTTGAAATGTCTGTATCGTTTAGTTTTTTTGTAATGTCCTTTCAAACACGTGGTGTCGTTTCTTTTGGACATTAGTTTAGTATAGGTCAAGCCATGTTTATGAGGCTTTTCAATCGACTGCATCCATGATTCCGTAATCGGAAGTATTGAGAGTGAGCCGAGAGATTATATATACCATTATGCATCAATGGTACACGATATATACTGAACCGCAAAAGAAACGTCACCCCAAGTAACATTTAGAAGTAGAAAAGGTATCATTTAAATATCTGGGTAATTTTTGTCAAAGTTTTAAAAATTTGACATTACCTTGTCCGGAAAAATGAAATTTGATGATAAAAAAACAAAGCAGATGACAATAAAACCGATCGCCAAAACGCATCACGGCAATGGCCATGGTAACCCGATACACGTGAGTTCCGTGCAAAGTGAAATGCACATGCGTTCCCCCATTTCTTGCCCTATAAAAATCCAACCAGATCGGATAACATTCGTTCGTCATTGAATTGCAACCACATGCCATGATTGACAAGAAATCAGCGACACCAAGCCCTCGGACGATTGCAAGCTGGACAAACCGCCCGGCAAGAAGCCAATGCATTTCAAGTCCAGGTAAGGACCATATACAGGCTCCAGCAATGGTACTAGACCACCAACTACAGATGACCGACCACGTAGTGGAAGACCAATGGTCACCCCCCAACTTCAGGATCGTCAGATTGTGCGACAGCATCTTCAAGATCGCTTTGTTACTGCTGTGGAAACTGCTCGACAGAACATGGGTACACACCAGCGACACATTAGTGCGGACAACGCGCGTCAACTGTCAGGCCACACTGAGGACCCATTCTGACACCACGTCATCGACGGGACCGTCTTCAGTGGGCAAAACAGCACCAGCATTGGCGCTACCAGCAGTGGAGAAGGGTCCTCTTCTCAGACGAGAGCCGTTACTGTATTTCAACAGTGTTGTGTTTCACATTAAGAACACTTGACACTTTAATTTCAAACTTGATGATCAGTTTTGCCGTGTTTCATTCTTTTTATTATGTCTCAAAGTATGTTTACAGTGTTTGGACAAATGAGGTTCTCATATATCTATCCATGGTGACGTTTCTTTTGCGGTTCAGTATATATGAAAATATGTTAAGCAGGGTATACAGCAGCATGGCTACTATCTAATATGTCTAGCTCGAAACTTACTTCTGGGATGTCACTCGCGACTGAGTGTTGCATAATAAATAATAGCCAAAACATACTTTTGTGGACCAAAAGAAGTGTATACCTTTTTACAATGGTAGAATAAATATAGAAATTACGACTGTAAGCTGTGCTGATGTTTTCTATCTATATTAGCAATATTAATATTTATATACACATATACTCTTTAGAGAAGTATAGGACCTTGAGATATAGATATAGAACAAAGATAGGTGTTGAGGACATCAGTAGTGCTTAATACCTCCAAGATTTGTCAAACATGCGTATGAGTTTCCCAATGGCGATTTAAGGGAGTTTGTCTATTTTTCTGGCAGGGCCTGGCCAATTTCAACCCGTGAAGATTCCAGGGTAGAATAGGTCTTCAACAACCCATGCTTGCCGTAAAAGGCGACTATGCTTGTTGTAAAGGGCGACTGACGGGATCGGGGGGTCAGGCACGCTGACTTGGTTGATGCATGTCATCGATCTCAATTGCGTGGGTCGATGCTCATGGTATTAATCAGTGGATTGTCTGGTCCAGGCTCGATTATTTACAGACCGCCGTCATATAGCTGGAATATAGCTGAGTGCGGCGTTAAACAACACGCAAACAAACAAACAATTCACTGGTCTGTAGGTTGTTCTTTAGTCAAGTTACGGACACGCATCTATATTTTTTCCAGGTCTTGAGAAACATGATGTCAGGGCACAGCTGCTTGGTGTATGAGATCCCAGAGAGCCTGATAATAGAAATACTCCTACAAGTTCCAGCCAAAGATATTGTACAGAACTGCGTGCTTGTATCTCGTCAGCTGAATGATATCATCGCCAGCCCCACACTGTGGAAGAGAAAATGTAAACTGGAAGGGAAGTATATTCCTCGTTTTGTGAAGCCAGAAGATTTCAAAAAGATGTATTTCTTTAATCCCTACACAAGAAATCTGATCAAGAATCCATGTGCACAGGGTAGGATCATTTATATGCACAGTGAATAATGCTATGCTTCTGAGCAGATTGTGAAATGTTTCATTGGCATAGGCTATTATCATTGACATGATAAGCTGATCTTACGTGTGATGTATATTGAATTTGTCTCTGAGCAATTTGTTGAAAATGAAATGTCAAAATGTTTAATTGAAATGCGTTTTCTTGTCCAGACATAACTGTTAACAACGCGCTCTAATTTACTCACTATGAACCCGTGAAGATCGGGGGTAGAATAGGTCTTCAGCAACCCATGCTTGACGTAAAAGGTGACTATCCTTGTCGTAAGAGGCGACTAACGGGACCGGGTGGTCAGGCTCGCTTATTTGGTTGATGCATGTCATCGATCCCAATTGCGTGGATCGATGCTCATGGTATTAATCAGTCGATTGTCTGGTCCATATTCGATTATTTACTGACCGCCGTCATATAGCTGGAATAGTGTTGAGTGCGGCGTTGAACAACAAACCAACAACAACACTCACCTATGTCTCATCTGTATCCCAAACCATGAAGATCCGGGGTAGAATAGGTCTTCAGCAACCCATGCTTGTCGTAAAATACTACTCTGCTCGTTATAAAAGGCGAGTAACGGGATCGGGTGGTCAGGCTCGCTGACTGAGTTGATGCATGTGATTGTATCCTAATTGCACGGATCGATGCTCATGATATCAATCACTGTATTGTCTGGTCCAGACACGATATTTTATAGACCGCCGTCATATAGCTGTAATATGTGTGCGGCGTTAAACAACGTATGTGTGTAAGCTACTGTGTATAGGAAATGGTTTGCTCACTTGTTCTGAAAGTTCAAGTTGAGCTTATGTTTACCTCTTCTCTTCGTTGGAAAGTTTGTAAAAATGTAGGGGAAATGGGTGGCTGTGTACACAACAAACCTGTGGTCAAGACTGACCGAGGTAATGCTGTTTTATTGCACATCAGAGAACAGAACAAGTCAACCTCCAATTCTTCCCCTTTCAAATTGCCTGGACATTTGGCCATAATGGGTTCATGGCACAAAAATCGTTTACAGAAAATTAATTATTTTCTAAAGTAGACACAATTTATGGATAACAACTTAAGACAGTTTGAGGATCTACACCGAAACGTCGCTTTTTACAATATTAAAAAGTTGTTATCCATAAAATTGTGTCTACTTTGTCATCCGTCATCTTCTATGTTATGGACCGCCTCCGTGGTCTAGTGGTAGAGCGTCCGCCCGGAGAGCGGAAGGTCCGGGGTATGATCCCCGGCCGCGTCATACCAAAAGACGTTAAAAGATGGTACTTGTTGTTACCCTGTCTGACGCTCGGCATTAAAGGGCTAAAACAAGGACTGGTCGGCTCGGAGTCAGTATACTGTGTCTGAGTGGGGTATTCATGTTAAACTGCGCCATGGTATCTCAGTGAGCTAGCACTATAAATCGGCATCAGTCCGGACTAGTACAAGCAGCCACACAAACACACACACGTACATGCACGTCGCTTTATAAGTGCAATAATCTTGGACGCGACGTTAAACCCCATTTCACCTCACTTCTATGTTATGCCTATCAATGAATTTAATCAATTTTCTAACTTGAATTTTAAAAAGAAGTCGAATAACACGATCACATTTTGTTTCGTTTAAAACAGCTGAATGATTTCAAAGTCACAAGGTTTAGAGTGAGTGAGTTTTCCATCGCATGTGTACAGTTTCCGTGTTTCTTTGATTGCTATAGAGGGATTACAACACTGGCAAGTGATGCGAAATGGAGGCAATAACTTCAAAGTGGAGACAGGTCATCATGGATGTCAGGATGTAACTCAAACAGATATGGTTCAAGGTAAACTCTCTTCTGTGAGTGCGGTGAGGTGAAATGGGTTTTAACGTCGCGTCCAAGATTATTGCACTTATATAGCGATGTGCATGCACGTGTGTGTGTGTGCGTGTGTGTGGCTGCTTGTACTAGTCCGGACTGATGCCGATTTATAGTGCTAGCTCACTGAGATACCATGCCGCAGTTTAACATGAATATCCCACTCAGACACAGTATACTGACTCCGAGCCGACCAGTCCTTGCTTTAGCCCCTCAATGCCGAGCGCCAGACAGGGTAACAACAAGTACCATCTTTCAACGTCTTTTGGTATGACGCGGTCGGGGATCGAACCCCGGACCTTCCGCTCTCCGGGCGGACGCTCTACCACTAGACCACGGAGGCGGTCTCTCCTGTGAGTGAGCGATGTGGGTTTAATGAACTGTATTTAACAGGGTGTTAACTGACTATATAACTCGAGTGTTCACCCTTGCCGAACTAGGCTTGAATTAGGGGGTTATGTTTTGGCTGGACTAACGAGTCCGGTTTGCAAACTGCCGTGCAGATGTCGGTCGATTGTAGGTTTTGCAAAACATGTCTATGGTCAACATGCCGTCAACAGGCTTTTTCCAAATCTTTTCATGTTTTTTTAATCAAGGTGCCCACGTGATGGTATGCATTTCGCAAAATAAGGCCCGTTTCATTTCTTGAATATCGATCAGATCGTCTTCTCTAGGCGCCGCCATTTTCTTTAAAGCAAATGCAAGTGATATGAGAGGTGGAATCTGATTGGTCAGTAGGAGGGACATAGACGGGACAGAGCTCGTAATAGCCACTGGTGGTGCTACGATTGAGCCCAGAAATTTCAGTCCAGATCGGCAAGGGCTTAAACTGGTCACGTAAATGTTGTTCATAGTAAGTGGATCGGGGATGCTAAATACAGCTCGTATGCTAATCTGTTCTGCTCCATCACTTTTGTTTAATTCTTCAGAGTGGCCAGAGCGGAATATAAATAAGTGGGCCACGTCGTATGGGCATTGTGAGAAAATGCAGAGAATTAACCTCGGGGAGGAGGGTGTGGTCGCGGAAGTGTTGGACACGATCAAACCAACCATCTACATCTCCGAGTGGTAGGTTGAGAGCCTTTTTTTTTTTATGGATTAACGTTAACACATCCGAGCCAAAACATTTGCAAACACTAAGTAAAAGATAAACATTGTCCAAAGTTTTGTTTTTGTCAAATCGTAAAGTTTATAAAACATTAAGGTATTGATAGTTATGTGTTTTTTATTTTACCTGTATTTTCATATCAAAACACTCTTAACGAAATACATTAACATTTGTTACCATAACAACGAAATACTATTACAATGATTAAAATGATAACGTAGAGTCCTCTCATATCCCCTTAGAATTGGTTAGAATTGATTTTCGGCCACCCATGCTTGTCGTAAGAAATATGTTCGTTTTGCACACAGGTTGGTTTGGTTGGATGGTTTGTTGTTTAACGCCGCACTCAGCAATATTACAGCTATATGGCGGCGGTCTGTAAATAATCGAGTCTGGACCAGACGATCCAGTGATTAATATCATGAGCATCGATCCACGCAATTGGGATCGATGACATGCATCAACCAAGTCAGCGAGCCTGACCACCCGATCCCGTTAGTCGCCTTTTACGACAAGCATAGTCGCCTTTTACGTCAAGCATGGGTTGCTGAAGACCTATTCTGCCCCGGTGTTCACGGGTCTGCAACACAGGTATGAGTTGGTATTTGTACATAAACTAAAGAAAAATGAGTATATCTGACACCAAAGTTATGTATTTAGTATAGTATTGACACAACCCTGATTAATATTACTTTATGAAGGTAGGCCCAGGTTATCTTTATATTAAAGGTTCGCTGCACGACAAGACTGCGCATGTCACTATGAGCTGGAGGTGAGGCTGTTGTCTGGTGACGAGCAAGAGCTGGACAGATTCACCTTTGAGGATAATGTCCCACAGTGGACTTCAGGAGAGTGGACAAAGGTAGTTCCCCTGGCAACTTAGCTGTGTAGAGTTGAATCCCTTGGGCTAGCCAGGATCTTATGACTTTGGGTTGAAATGTCAGATTCACGGTATTCTTCGTTTGTCAGCATGTTCGTTTCCTCAACAACATTGGAAACGTCTAAGAACAGCATATCTTTGACCATGAAGCTTTCATGCTGTGAAGATAAAACACTATCCCAAGCTGCGCGGGGTGTTATAACATTTGTCACTCTTGTGAAGCACACGTGTGGTGATAATGGGCCACGGAGTATAATCAGCTCTATCTTGGATGTTTGTTTGTTTGTTTGTTGTTTAACGCCGCACTCAGCATTATTCCAGCTATATGACGGCGGTCTGTAAAATATTCGAGTCTGGACCAGACAATCCAGTGATTGACGTCATGAGCATCGATCCACGCAATTGGGATACGATGGCATGCATCAACCAAGTCAGCGAGCCTGACCACCCGATCCCGTTAGTCGCCTTTTACGACAAGCATAGTCGTCTTTTACGGCAAGTATGGGTCGATGAAGACCTATTGTACCCCGGAATCTTCACGGGTCCTATCTTGGATGTGAATTCACATTCGGCACGGTTACAGGGCGTCATTCTGCCTTCCAAATATCAGTGCCTAACACCACTGAGTCCCCATGTTCCCTAGATATGCACTAAGGCTGCAAATGTATTTTGATATTTATAGCCGATACAATGATCTAGATCTTTGGTATTTTCTTATGTATTATGCACACTGTTTCCCTCCCCAAAGGAGTACTGTCTACAGGGGGTAGCATATTATACACACAGAGTGAAAACAAAATAACTATTATTGTCAGAACTGATTATTTATGTTATTTACAGGACCCATCATCAGACACCTTGAAATGAATCTGAGTCGTCAGAAAATGAATACATATATGACGAAATGCCATCATGTGACATCATCATAAGTCAAAGTCAAAGTTCTTGTTATTTGATTATATATTTGACAATACTATATTTTGCGAACATTGGCTCTTACTTTTTTCATGTATAAAATATAACTGGTAATTTACCACAATTCTACACAATAACAAGATATCATATTTTGTACGTGTTACAATACCTGTTTTAGAATTGAAAAAATAATTCTGTTTTAAAAGGATATATTCAAATAAATGATCGCTGTTTTGTTTTTCAGATGCAGCATGTGTTTAAAGACTATAAGGCTGGCGTTAGGTTCATTGAATTCCGACATCTTGGGGTTGATAGGCAGTTTTGGGCCGGACATTACGGACCAAAGTTTACTCTCTCATCTGTGAAATTTATGTTTGACTAATGCAGAATAGTTAATCTCAGACTCTGTATTTTCAGAACTAACCTGAGAGAGCAATATCGACTGGTCGCCATAGCAACCGTTAGTTATCATGGTAACCACAAACATGTGATATTTGGAGATGGAGGTGAATACATGTATCCAACTGATATTCCTGAATAATTTATCGTCAAAATATTATCTGTAGGAATGAAAGACACTTCAGGAAGTGAAATTTGATTAATAGAATAATAACACATAATAACTACAGATTTATATAGCGCTGGTATCCAGTTCGAAGAACTGCTCAAAAGCGCTACATTTGAGTCTACACAAAAAAGAGGCATTACACAGCTAGGAAAACACAAAGCCTCAATACTCCAAGAAAGATTTGGTGAAAAGATAAGTTTGAGTCTTGATCGGAACAAAGTAGGACTGTTAATGTTCCTGATATCCAATGGCAGCCTATTCCATAGCTCAAGGGCAACTTTGGTGAAACTCCGACCTCCAAAAGTCGCCGTTCTAACACTAGGCACAGAGAGCAGGGACTGGCAGCTTGATCTGAGAGATCTCCCAGGCTAGTTCTCTTCAAGAAGCTCGCTGATATAAGTTAGTCTTTGATTGTGTCTCGCATTGAACACAATCAGCATCACTTTATACTGGATTCTCTCATTGATTGTGAGCCAGTGGTGGTTCCGTAAAATCGGTGTGATATGGTCAAACTTTTTGGATTTAGTAACAAGCCTGGCAGCACAGTTTTGACCTCTTTGAAGTTTTGTCAAAAGGTTATGAGGAAGGCCGATAAGTAGAAGCTCGCCTATTGTATGTTATTTGAGAAGCTTGACATATTGTGAAGGTGGTAGTGGTTTGATTTGTTGACAATTTGTGTTATTACTGTATTGCTTAAAGTTTAGGTATCATGGAAAATATTTATAGATTTTTCTTACATCCTTATGTAGGTAGTGTGCAGTACTATAGGATGACCGAGAAAACAAGTGTGAATACCAAACCTTAGTGAGTGAGTGAGTATAGTTTTACGCCGCTTTTAGCAATATTTCAGCAATATCACGGCGGGGGACACCAGAAGTGAGCTTCACACATTGTACCCATGTCGGAAATCAACCCGGGTCTTCAGCGTGACGAGCGAACGCTTTAACCACTAGGCTACCCGACCGCCCCATCAAACCTTAGTTGTTGCGCCATATTTTGATGTCTGTGTTTGTCAGAACCAAAACGAATCTTAATTAGCACGGATGGCTTGCCGGCAAGCTGATTAGGTATTAGAATTGTAGGGAGACCTGTATATATATAATACAGGTATGGATTCCATGTTTGTCAAGAGTAGTGAGTGAGTGAGTATGGTTTTACGCCGCTTTTAGCAATATTCCAGCAATATCACGGCGGGGGACACCAGAAATGGACTTCACACATTGTACGCATGTCGGGAATCGAACCCGGGCCTTCGGCGTGACGAGCGATCGCGTTAACCACTAGGCTACACGACCGCCCCTTTGTGCAGAGTATGGTTGGTGGGGACGTGTCAAGTAGCCTTGATTTAACGTGAATTACATTATTCCATCCCAAGAATAATGGAGTTCATTTGTGGATAGGAGAATGTCAAAGAGTTAAAAACGGTGAAGAAAAGGTTTGCTTGAACGGAGACTTGCCTGTTTGTGTAATTTTGGAGGTAGCTTGTGCGATGTGTAATGTTGGGGGTAATTCCTCCAATAAGACCATATATAGAACCTCGGTGTATAAAGGCTCCTCCTCCGATGTATTTGCATTTCAGCCTTTGATATTGACAAGACAGAAGTGCAAATAAACCATATTTACGAAATCTGAACTGTTTTGGAAGCTAGCATCTAACTTGTTGTTGTGGTTCACGTGCCAGTGTAAACAAGCATTTGTATAAAACGATAATCAAATCGACACATTTGGCATAATGTTTTTAACAATATGGTTATATGTGAATAAATGGGCTAAAGTACTGCTTGTCTAATGTGATGCATGTATATATGATCAATTCTTATGTCAGGCATGTCATGTATATATTCAGTTTATATCATCACGCCAGTAAACAAAACTGATACGACAATTTCAATCTTCTCGTTGTTTGTTTCACATAAATTCATCAGCATATGAGCTTCAACATCATGATTATGTTTCTAGGTTTGTCAGCACCATATCCGTGCTCGTAGGTTTCACCGAAGTGGTAAACGTCTGCCGGAGACTTGTATTACTTCGGGCTTTCCTCCCGCATAAAGTTTGTTTGTTTTTGTTTGTTTGTTTGTTGTTTAACGCCGCACTCAGCAATATTACAGCTATATGACGGCGGTCTGTAAATAATCGAGTCTTGACAAGACAATCTAGTGATTGACAACATGCGCATCGATCTACGCAATTGGGATCGATGACGTGCATCAACCAAGTCAGCGAGCCTGACCACCCGATCCCGTTAGTCGCCTTTTACGACAAGCATAGTCACCTTTTACTGCAAGCATGGGTGGCTGAGGACCTATTCTAACCCGGATTTTCGCGAGTCATTTGAAAGTAGTTTTTAAAGATATTTTTGAGCACGCACAAATCAATCAATCTTGAACGTCTGTTAAAGTTAAGTAAATACTAAAAAAAAACATCCAGCAGGTGTACGCCGACAAACGGCCCCGTTGGCAGATGACTAAATATAATGTATAAGAATATAAGAAAAGTCTGATTGACTTTACACTAGATGCTTTCAAGACACGAACAACAGATCACAGAATACCAAATGTAACGTTAAAATGATATAAACCATTTTAATTTAAATTCGGTTGAAACACAACATTGTATTTGCATCCTATCGGAATGACCGTGATCGTTTCTTATCAAGAGCACTAATTTATTTGGCGAGTGAGAGTTGTTTCCCTTTGACTACAACGTAGCGAATATATGTGGAGTCTAATGGTATACGATAACCTTTATCCAGTGGACCAAAACGGTGCAAGGAAATGTTGTAGCATCCCTACGTATTGGTGCCAATACTTATACATGTACTGTCATAAAGAAATATGGGGAAATAAGTCAGATAGAGCAAGACTGGTACCCTGCCCTTCACCTCCTATAGCGGCTGCAGGCAAAGAGAGCAAGCGCTCTGGGGCAGGTAAACCAGTCTAGAACAGGACGTGGCTCCTGTTATGATCGCTGCCGAATAACAAACATGTTTAGTGTAATAATTTACAGTTAATTATTTATGCATAAGCGAGACAAAGATATGGTTTCTTTTAAAAGTTTCGTTACATCTTTCCAACGACTACTCATCCCCATGGCCCATGTGGTTTTCTCAAACCATAACAAATAAGACATTACTTCTCAAATTATCTATTTTGCTCTCACGAAGCGTTGTGTAAGCCACGTCGCAGTTGCGGGACATCCTGTACTGTATGTCTGTTTCCTTGCTCTAAGTTCAGGATTTCCTTCCCACATCTGGCAAAAGGATGTTTGTTCAATGTGTGATGCAATCTATCTGCTTTTGGGGTATAATGCACATATTTCCTGTACACAGGGACAGTATACATGAGATATCGTAAAGGATGTCATAAATCAATCCTGAACTTTGTTCTAGTTTTTTGTTTAGAAGACATGCACAAGTAATCTACGTTAAATGCAAACAGTATCTGTATCTATTGAATCAACTGACATAGAGTCCAAAGGCGTTTCACTTGTCCTTGTTATTGTTCACTATCCGCGGGATAGCATTGTTATCGCACGCTGAAGTCTAAAATAATATGGTTCCAGCAATATCAGTTGAATGATTTCACTGTGTAGCATTTAGACTAGTTATTGTTTAAGTTGAGCATTGTTATTTCTAAGTTTAAGCAGTCCACTGGTATCGTTCTAGCTTTGTTTACAACTTATATATTTCGGCTGTAGTTGTATTATTAAACCCAATGAAAAGAACGTCGTAAAATGTGAGTTAGTTTGTAAGTATTACGACATACTTGCGACATATTTGCCACGTCCCGCAACGTCATTGCTACTTATTTACGCTTATATTTTTAAACACATTTTCGTTTTCCTTTGGAATCATCCTTTCGAATTCTTTATATTAATTTTTAGTGCTATCTATCTATAAAGTTGGTTGGTTTGTTGTTTAACGCCGCACTCAGCACTATTCCAGCTATATGACGGCGGTCTGTAAATAATCGATTCTGGACCAGACAATCCAGTGGTCAATATCATGAGCATCGACCCACGTAATTGGGATCGATGACATGCATCAACCAGGTCAGCGAGCCTGACCACCCGATCCCGTAAGTCGTCTTTTACGACAAGCATAGTCACCTTTTACGGCAAGCATGGGTTGCTGAAGACCTATTCTACCCCGGATCTTCACGGGTCCTATCTATAAAGGACAACGGCTTCATTGATCAGTTGTACATAACAATAATGTGAGGCAGCAGCATTAATCACAACATCAACATTCATTGCAATATGGGTTTAACTGTTTATCTTTAAAAGAAAATAATATAATTTCAATCTCGGGAATTTCCTGTTTATTTTACCCAGCTTATTTTTACCTCGTGGTCCGAGTTTCAAACATGTTTGTTTTTTGGCTATTACTTGTCAGCGCCTGCAAGTTTCAATGCAATCCAAATACCACAACATTTATACAAAAGTGTTATCCTGTAGTATACAAGGTACTGACCTACTTTCTGTGTTTGTTTGTTTAAAGCCGCACTCTGCAATATTCCAGCTAAATGACGGCGGTCTTTAAATAATCGAGCCTGGACCAGACAATCCAGTGATTGATGTCATGAGCATCGATCCACACAATTGGGATACGATGACATGCATCAACCATGTCAGAGACCCTTACCACCCTTAGTCCCCTCTTACGACAAGCATAGTCGCCAATTACGGCAAGCATGGGTTGCTGAAGACCTAATCTACCCCGGATCTTCACGGGTCACTGGCCTACTAGATATACTGAAATTATTTCATGTTTTTTAAATATTAAAATGTTTACTCATTTGGGGAAAAACCAAATAGAATGATGAATAGATGAGTAAAACAATATTGGTTTCCCAATGAAAAATGTAATAACCCAATTAAAATAGAAACCTTCGTGTAAAAAACTCATTTTTAGCATTAAATCGGTTCATATTTTTCACATTTACCGAGAGTTCAATTTCCATAATAAACGCACCATGGGTAATATCATTTGCAATATGACGTCACTAGTGCCAACTGATATAGTAATGACGTCATAAGACTTTATAAAACCCGTTTCACGTGGTGTAGATAGAAGTGTGTGATTCTAGCTTCTCATATGCGAAGGCTACTGTTTTGTTCGGTTGTTTGAGTGTACTGAAAACTTTATTCAAAAGAAAGATTTTATGGAAGCTTTACTATTTTATGTTATTGGTAGCTTTGGAAGAGTTGCTTCCCTTTACTTGTATGTTTCAGAAATGGCGGAGACCCGTGAAGATTCCGGGGTAGAATAGGTCTTTAGCAATCCATACTTGCCGTTAAAGGCGACTATGCTTGTCGTAAAAGGCAACTAACAGGATCGGGTGGTCAGGCTCGCTGACTTGGCTGATACATGTCATCGATCCTAATTGTGTGGATCGATGCCCATGCTGTCAATCACTGGATTGTCTGGTCCAGACTCGACTACTTTACAGACCGCCGTCATATAGCTGGAATATTGCTGAGTGAGGCGTTAAACAACCAACAAACAAACAAACAGAAATGGCGGACTTTTGTTGTAGTCGATTTGTGACGTACTAGATTAAGATTTTTATCTGAAGAAGAATTGTTGTATTTGAAGAAGGAATAGAAACGATGCAAGTATAACGTACTGTAAAGTTCGCGATGATGGTTGGAAGGGTCCGTTGCGTGAATTGCGCTTATTCGTTCATTTGTGTTGGGCATATTGGCTCTTGCTGAGTTGCTGTAGTTTTCCGCGAGAGATACCATAGGTCTCATCAAGATTCTAGCTGGGTAGATTTTGTAAACAAACGCCCTAAAGTTGAAGTAACTCCTGTGTTTGATGTTACCAGATTCATAACTATCAAGTTATAACAGAAAGAAGTGGTTGGTCATTGGATTTACTTCTCAGCTTCGAGAACGCCATTAGACAATGCTAACAGTGACGTCATGCATATGCGCATACAGTAGTTGATTAGTTGGTTGGTTGTTTAACGCCACACTCAGCAATATTCCAGCTATATGACGGCGGTCTGTAAATAATCGAGTCTGAACCAGACAATCCATTGATTAATATCATGAGCATCGATCCACGCAATTGGGATCGATGACATGAATCAACCAAGTCAGCGAGCCTGACCACCCGATCCCGTTAGTCGCCTTTAACGGCAAGTATGGAATCTTCACGGGTCGCGCGTACAGTAAGGGAGGTAACTCTCAAACCATCAATACGTAACAACTCCGGTAAGTTTTCTGTATACTAGTACTTATTCAACAGATAAAATCTAAGCACAGAAGTATGCAAGAAATGTGTTTAATATGTGTTCATTGTTACTCTAGATATTCATTAATATCCGCTTTTGTGTCTTTTTCACATGTTCACTTCCATGTTATATCTATACTCCGTGATCAGCTGATCATTTCAGTATGCTGTTAATTCACGTAATTTTGGTGAAGAGTGAGTGTGAAGTAATTTCAATGTTTTGTTTTAGTTTTACAGACATCCTCGTTTAAGAGCTGGGACAATGCCTATGAATATCACTACCCCTCAAATGCCCGAGGGCAGTCAGTATGTGGAGGGCCCATCCAAAAGACAGAACCATGAAGCCCACTCGTTGCACACCCGCGCATCCAGCAGGGTAGCGAAAGCCACAAAAATACATTGTTGCAACATTCTATTTTTAATAGTGTTTTGACCCGTGAGGATTCCGATGTAGAATAGGTCTTCAGCAACCCAAGCTTGCCGTAAAAGGTGACTATGCTTGTCGTAAAGGGCGACTAACGGGATCGGGTGGTCAGGCTCGCTGACTTGGTTGATGCATGTCATCAAACCCAATTGCGTGGACCGATGCTCATGATATTAATCGCTGGATTGTCTGGTCCAGACTCGATTATTTACAGACCGCC